AATCTATGCCAGCCCCATAAGTCATTGCGCCATGTATTGTCGCATGTAATATGTAAGGCTATGTCTTGCCACCCTAGATGATTGAGATATATATATATATATATATATCTTTTTCCAATATAAAATATTGGTCCTTTCAGAGTAAAATCTTTAATTATATAGTAAGCATACTCACATGCAGACACAGACAATCTCACTGACACAAGCTGATTGATACACAGCCTCATAGACAAACAATCTCACTGATATACATAAGGTCATTAAAATAAAAACACAAGCTCACTCAGTAGCAGGCACACACACACACACACAGCAAGCCCACTCACTAGCAGGCGCGCACACACACACACAGCTTAATGTAGTGGCTCTGGTGTCTACAGCCTGTCCCTGCAGGCTTTTCAATGTAAACACTGACTTTTTAGAGAAAAGGCAGTGTTTACATTGCTTCCTAGTGACAGACACTCAGACGGTCACTAGAGGTGCTTCCTGTGTCAGTGCGGATTGGCTGAGATCATCAAGCTTGATGATCTCAGCGGTAGAGGCAGGGCCAGTTGAGGGGAGACCAGCACGACGTGGGGGGGGGGGAGGTGAGTAAAAACACACATACACACACACATACCATGACAGACACACACCGTGACACAGACAGAAACACAGACACACCATGACAGACAGACACACCATGACACAGACAGACACACACATACCATGACAGAGACACACACATACCATGACAGACACACCTTAAAAAAGACACACACACCTTGACACACACACCATAACACAGACCTTGACACAGACACATACACGACACAGACAGACACAGAAAGATCGTGACACAGACACACACACATTTACATGACAGAGACAGACACACACCATGACAAACACACACACACCATGACACAGACAGACCGTGACACAGACAGACGCACACACCATGACAGTCAGAGACACACATTGCATGACACAGACAGACACACACACACCATGACACAGATGCACACACCATGACAGACAGAGACACACAGACACACACAATGACACAGACAGACGCACACACCATGACAGTCAGAGACACACATTGCATGACACAGACAGACACACACACACCATGACACAGATGCACACACCATGACAGACAGAGACACACAGACACACACCATGACACAGACGCACACACCATGACAGACAGAGACACACAGACACACACCATGACACAGACGCACACACCATGACAGACAGAGACACACAGACAGACACACAATGACACAGACAGACACACCATGACACAGACAGACACACACAATGACACACACACACCATGACACAGACACACACACACACACACACCATGATACAGACACACACAATGTCTACCTGGGGCTGTGGGGAGCTCCCTTGGCGGCCGCAGGGTTTGCTGGCTGTTTTGGCGGCCGCAGGGGGAGCTGGCTGTTCTGCCTCTGCTCCCCCTCCCCAGTGCACTGCTTACTGAGACCGGAGCCGGAATATGACGTCATATCCCGGCCCTGGTCTCTTTCTAGCGCGCTGGGGAGGGGGAGCAGAGGCAGAACAGCCAGCTCCCCCTGCGGCCGCCAAAACAGCCAGCAAACCCTGCGGCTGCCAAGGGAGCTCCGGGCTCCCTCTGCGGCCACAGGTGAGCCGGCTGTCTGCCCGGCCCCAGGTGCCGACGGCCCACCGGGAAATTTCCCGGTATCCCGGTGGGCCAGTCCGGCCCTGGCTACAGTTCATTGAGGGAACCATGAATGCCAACATGTACTGTGACATACTGAAGCAGAGCATTATCCCCTCCCTTTGGAAACTGGGCCACAGGGCAGTATTCCAACATGATAACGACCCCAAACACACCTCCAAGACGACCACTGCCTTGCTAAAGAAGCTGGAGATAAAGATTATGGACTGGCCAAGCATGTCTCCTGACCTAAACCCGTTTGCGCATCTGTGGGGCATCCTCAAACGGAAGGTGGTGGGAGCGCAAGGTCTCTAACATCCACCATCTCCGTGATGTCGTTATGGAGGAGTGGAAGAGGACTCCAGTTGCAACCTGTGAAGCTCTGGTGAACTCCATGCCCATGAGGGTTAAGGCAGAGCTGGAAAATAATGATAGCCACACAAAATATTGTCACTTTGGGCCCAATTTGGACTTTTCCACTTAGGGGTGTACTCACTTTTGTTACCAACTGTTTAGACATTAACGGCTGTGTGTTGAGTTATTTTGAGGGGACAGCAAATTTACACTGTTATACAGGCTGTACACTTACTGCTTTACATTGTAGCAGAGTGTCATTTGTTCAGTGTTGTCACATGAAAGGTTATAATAAAATATTTACAAAAATGTGAGGGGTGTACTCACTTTTGTGAGATACTGTATATATATTAAATATGTCTCACAACGTATAAAGGTATTTTGCATATGTGTGTTTGAAATGTCACTTTGAAAATGAATCATACACCAAATATTTCTCATGCAAGCTCAACCTTTTTACTATCAAGCATGGCATTTCTGTGTGTATAGGGAGCAAAGGTGAGGGAATTTTCTTCTTATAGTACTGCAGCTAACAACCTACTTTTTTTTGTGAGTGTTTTCACTATCAAGTTATCTTCATTAAATACAATTAGCATAACATTTATTTGGAACATGAGATAGCTAGCTAGCACATAAGCATAGGATAAAAGAAGGAATTTGAAGGTAAAGTGCAGCCATAATGTTTGATCTACAAAGGTTGCTGTAGTGTCCAAAGGAAGGAGTGGGGTTTCTATTATCAGTCTGTTAGCTAGCTGACTTATGATTTAAAACTAGATTTTGAGCCAATAGAGCTTTCTGGGCTAAGGTGTAGCTGGGACAGTTCCTAAAAAAACGGGTAAAATAGTAGTTATTTTAAATTACTTAATTAATTAGCATTTTATGTCATTTTTTTTAGTAAACTATAAAAAAAATGTTAACAGATAATCCGTTTAAAATTGAAATGTTATTGGCAAACATTATAAATGTTCAGTATACATATATGTTTAACCCCTTAAGGACACATGACATGTGTGACATGTCATGATTCCCTTTTATTCCCGAAGTTTGGTCCTTAAGGGGTTAAGTCATATTTGACATTGTAATGGTTTGCTGGCTCCCGGGTTCTTAAAATACCATAAATCCAACACCAAAACAGACCACTGGATGTACGGCTGAGTCTTCTAGTGGAACCTTTTAAACTGAAACCATTATTGGGCTAAGTGCTTTTTGTGAATCTTTACAGCCCAACAGTTCGTTCTAGTATTTGATTCTGTTTTCTAATTTTGGCCTGGCTTATCTGACTGAATTTCTCTCGTCTATAAGTAAGTGTCCTAACAGGCATAAAACACTTTAGGCAGCTTACTGTTTTTTTTAATAGCTCTCTGTTATATGCCTATTTGCTATGCTGTATTTTAACACAATAAAACAGACATGTTCAGTACACTAGCTCCATGTGCCTTGAGGACACCAACTTGACTCTTTCCCCTCAGTTGATCGAATATCCTAGTCCCTGGTTAGTTTTCCTATTTATGAGTTTGTCTGGTTCCCGGAGCTCATCTACAAACCAACCATACGTTACCCTCTAGCGCAGTGCTAGGCATCCTTTTAGTAGCACTGTGCCAAAGCAAGCATTAGTGTCCCTTGGTGTGCCTATGCTATTTTTTTGTAATTAACGTGTGTGTATGTTGCTGTCTTCTGCTTGTGTTATGTATGGGTGCCACAGCTGCTTTGTAGGGTTGTTTTTTGTGCATGTGTATGAGAAGTTTGTGGTGTTGTTTTTGTGTGTTACCTATGTATGTGGGCTATGTATCATGTTAATCTGTGCATTGGGGCTGTCTGTGAGATTGTGTTTGTGGGTGACAGGTCTTGTGTGGTGTTGTGTGTATTGTGGGGGCTGCTTGGGGTAATGTATGTGGGAGGCTGCTTGTGGGTTTGTGTGTGTATGTGAGTTGTCATTTGTGCTTGTGCGGGCAGATTATGAAGCTGTGTGTGTATTTGCGTGTGAGCTTTTTGTAGTATTTGTGGGGAAGGCTTCAGTTGTGTGTTTTATGTCTGGCTGTATGGGTGGCTTCCCTGTTGTCCCTTGGGGAGAAAAAGCTAGTGGGCAGGAAGAGATAACTTGAATGGGAGAGATAACTGGGTGGCTCGGGAGAGATTACTGAGGGGTAGTGAGAGAATTGGGTTTGCTAGGGAGAGATAACGAGAGACTAGAAAATGAGAACTGGGGAGTTTATAAAAATGTATATACATAATTTATGTATAATGATATACAATTCCCATGATGCTCAGCCAATCCATAAACCTAATTGGGTATCATGGGAATCAAGTCCTTGTGAGCGGTGGATACTAATACTTAAGACCAAATCAGGAGATTGGAATGTCACCTTCAACCACAACTTTTATTTACAAATATTAAAACCATAACAGGTATTCAATGTATGTATGTTACACCCTCTTGAGCACCCCCATTGTTCCAACTACTAAACATTTTTTAGCACGAGCAGGGGCTTTACAAGAAACTGCTGAAACACTGTGCATTTCAGAAGAACAGGCAGAAGCAGTCCTGTGGCCTCAAACACCAAAAGATTTAACACACTAATACCATCCAGGATCTGTATGATGATCTGATGAAACTAAAAAGAAGGGAGATAGACCTTGATCTTCATGGAGTCTTTATATCAGACTATTATAGGGCAAAGAAAATCCTTTGGGGTTTCAGAATGAGTGAGAAACGCTCCTACTATTGGATGACAGAATCTGGAAATTTGTAAAAAAAATTGATGCATACAGTTGCAAGAAAAAGTATGTGAACCCTTTGGAATGATATGGATTTCTGCACAAATTGGTCATAAAATGTGATCTGATCGGGGGCAGGACCTGACCGCCGGCGGGATCAGACGTGCTCTGTCTGAGCTCCCGCTCCAGTGCCCGAAGTCGGTGTAAATTGGAGGCTTTACAAGACTGGAAAACCACACAGGCGACCACACCGACCCCCAGTCACTGGGGCAAACTAGTATACCGCATGAGACTCTCTGGCGCCGACAGTGACCCGACTGGGGCACGGAGCCCATTGGGGCTTGAGCCGGGATGAGACGGCCGCTCTCCCGGGTCTCCGGCCGGCGTCACGCTTCCCCCCCCTCTGGACCGGGGGGGTCATCCCGGTCTGCAAGGGCACTAGCCAGCACATCAACCCGGACCTAAACAGCCGCTGGTGAGGATTAGCCGCTGGGCGAAGGCCCACAAGATGGCCGCCGCGCGCCGACCATGTGCGTGAGCTGCCTGTGAGATCGAGCGGATGCTTACCTAAAAGTGAGGAAGCCAACGGAGCAAATGAATGAGCACACACTGCTACCCTGCCGGGTCCTTACAAAGAAAAAAAAAAAAAAAGCAAAGTTTATAGACACTGCAAATAAGAACTCACCGCACTCTAATGGAAGTGCCTGCAGTAGCACATACCACAAGACATGAAGCAGAACCTGCCCTGACAGCACTGACCACCCAACGATTCAAGACAGAGCACAGCCAAGAGGAACCCTGGTTCATAGACCGGAAAATCTTGGGACTCACTGTGGCTGAACTCCCTGTGCTTAAATTGACTTGGTTAGATTTAAAAAAAACTGAAATTGGAAAAGGTTAACAATGACTATAAATACCACCAAATTTACAAATGGTTAAGTGGGTCTCAGGAAAATTCTGATCGGAGACTTAGATTTAAACCACAAATACGTAAACCGGCATTTTATACAACTGAGACAAGCTCAGGTGAATCCGCCTCAGACTTGGAAACTAGAAACACAAATAAGGAAACAGGTACAGGCTCTTTTTTAGAACGCGGTACATACTGAGATGAACCTCCAGGTACAACCAGGATTACCACCCGAGGTCCAAAAAGAACAGAAACTTACGCAGAGGACAGAAAAACAGGATGAGATACAAACCTTACAGGAAAACTTCCCATACGGAAAAGATTACCTTAATTTTTTATTTATCTGATAAAACTCTCAACCCAGACCATTATTCTGTTTTAAATAAAGCCATTACCACCTATACAGTACCTAATGGAATTCTTGCAGATTGCCCTCACGTGCACTTACTTCAAAGTCGAAAAAAATTATTCATATATAGCAATAACGTAGACTGTGCTGGAAATGGGCATCCAATTCCATCGGGTTTGGTATTGGACAGTTTGTGGTTGCATTATATCTCATACATGTGTGGCGGTAGCGAAATGTGTGCTGGGGTGGTTTGTTGGTGATTGGTTTTCCTGTTGTCGGTGTTGTCGTGTGTGGTGCTCAGTCCGTGCAATTTTTGGACATAATCATCTTCAGAAAGCAAACTAGATTGGGTTACAAACTTCACCGCAAACCCACAGACAGGAATAACCTACTTCTGGCTACAAATTTCCATCCAAAAACTCCCTACTGATTTTCTAAAATTTTGAGGGTATATAGATACAATAGCGAACCTGAGAATATGGAAACTCAACTAACGGACATGTGGGAACGCTTTTTGACGAAAGGCTATCATCCAAAGATATTGACAATCGACAAAAATATTGCAGTGGAGTTGTGGCAGTCTGAAATAAAAGGAACAAAAACCTTAAAGAATGCTGTAAATCCAAAGATCTACCTACCTTTGTCGTTCCATATAGGCACTGGGAAATTTAGGGAAGCTATTAATAAGCACTGGGGATTACTACAGGCAGAAAAAACACTTCCAAAAATCTTTCAAGAAAAACCTGCTATAAGTTATCAAAGGAACAAAAATCTCAAGGATCTCCTGGTACGTAATGACCTCTTACATTGCTATATTAAACCAACTACCATCTGAAAAAATGGACGTTTTGTGCAGTGGTTGTGTGACGTGTAACCACATGATATGTGGTACAACATTTGCACACCCACATAGTGGAACAATAATTAGGATATTACAATATATAACATGCACTACAGATCACGTGATCTACTTAATAACCTGCCAGTGTGGATTATCATACATAAGAAAGACTACGTGACCGAATAAAAGGACACCGATTAACTATTACCACTGCATTCAGAGACCAACGAACAGACAAACCAGTGGCAAAACATTACCTGGCTATGCAACATCGACTTCCTTAGATTTACAGCGATAGACCATATCCCCCCCACTACTTTGGGGAGGTGATAGATCCAAGGCTCTACTGCAACGTGAAGCATACTGGACCTTCCAACTGGATACAGTGGCCCCAAAAGGACTTAATAAGATCATTGTATATTCTAGATTTTTAAGAGAAGTCTCATATGTTTTTTTTCAGTGTACATTTTTTTTATATTTTTATTCTTACAATGCTGGAATAATTTTTTCGTTTTTTTAATTTTATTTTTTGGTCCACATTTTTCTACATGTAGGGTGTAGACCCTTTTGCCTTTAGCATGCTTGTTCTTCTTCAAATAATGCTAGGGAATATTTACCTGATTTCTATTTTTCTTAGTTAAAATATTTTTTTTAATGTAATTAAGTAACATGTAGTAGACAGTTTCTTTTTTTATGCATTAATATTTTTTCTAATAAGATATACATACTAGATTAATTTCTATAATCCATGATGACCCTACTTTCTTGCAATCTATGTAGATTGGTATATACTTAGGATATTAAGAGTTGTAAATATGATATCTTTATAATCATGTATAGAATTACAAGAGTATATAATGATTTTTTATATGCTTAACCAGATTATTTGCACATATCATTGCTCTGTATTTCTTTCACAATGTTTTGTCACACCTTTTTACACTTATTTGCACTTTGGTATTGTACACATTTCTCCACTTTAGGTCTCCTTCTGCATGTGCTCCTCTCTGGTTAACTCTATAGTATAAAAACTTGAGTATCGATAATACCGTCTGCCTATGTCTTCCATGTGTAGTTATAGCACTGATCTCAGTGCGTCTGGGCTCATTATTCATTGTATACACAGGTTACTAAGCAACCATGCTTTTTTCACGTTACCTTCTTCACGTCACGTGACCCTACAGGCGCACTTCCGGGTTGTAAACAGATAGGAGAGGGAGAATTACACATTCTATTGGTGAGTATACTTTACATTTTCTTATTCAAACCTTCACATTTACTGGGTATGTTGATCTTGAGAAAGACCTTGAGGGGTCGAATGAGCATCATTGGGATGTAAAATTTTGGAAAAAATTATACTTTTTTTGCAGGGAAAAGACCTGTGTCTGCTCCTTTTTGTCAAATGTATATATATATATATTAATAAAATATTTTACCTAATGAATGAGAGCAGTCGCTGGATTTTTCAAAAGTGTATTCAAGCAAAACAAAAGATCAACGTTTCGACCAACCAGTCTTTATCAAGATCTTGATCAAGAAAGTTATGGTGAGGAAAAATTGTGATTGAAAACACCTGCCACCTGAAGTCAGTGGATAGTCAATACATTGTTAAACACAGATCTGCACACCAGTCAAGCCATAAGACCTGTTTTTTCCACAGAAATCTAATTGATTTTATCACCCCTCCTGGCAGTTGAGGATCCGGGGGGGAAATGGACTTCCACGCCTTCGCCCTTTCCCCCCTTCCTGAGAAAATTGAGGCTGTCCTTTGCTCTCCCCTGTAGGGCCAGTGCTATCCAAAATCAGAGATCTCCCTCACCTGTCTGTAGTCACCTTGCTGGGCAGCTGGCATGGGAGGGAGAGAGGACCCGGGAGCCTAGCCTGCAGGTCCTCTGGGTCCTCCTCTCGCAAGCACGAACCTTGCTGTGGTTACCATGGTAGGATCTGCAGGCTACAGTTCAGGGCTTCTCCACTGAACACCAGGGATTGAGAAATGTTCCCCCTCCCTGAGCAAAGGTAAGAAGGGAGGGGGGACATAAAGTACATGATTTAAATAAAAAAACCAGATATATTTACTTTAGGCTACCCACACACTCAATAATTCCCTACACATTCACACACACTGCCCCCCCTCCACACACACACACTGCCCCTCCACACACCCACACTGCCCCTCACACAGAAACACACACACACTGCCCTTACACACACAAACACACACACACACTGCCCCTCACACACACACACTGCCCCCTCACACACACATACATACCTCCCCATACACACACTGCCCCCAAAAACTGCACGCCTTACACATACAAATTGCAGCCCTCACACACATACACACACTGACCCTTACACACACACTGCCCCCCATACACACAATTCTGTTACAGCTAACATCCTACACTATGTGCTGGATTGTCTCAGATGCCTCTCAGAGGCCTGCTGAGCACCTGTTCCTGTGCTGCTAGCATCAATGCCTCAGTGCTGTCTTTCAGTCCTGCCTTTTCCAACCACTGGTAGGATTTTGTCATGTGAGCCACATCCACTATCTGCCAGAGGCACACCTCATGGAGAGGTTTGTCTTGCCTCCTCCTTTTCTGCATCCTATGTCTGTATAAATCTCAGGCATTACCTTAGCAATTTATCTTTGGAAGATATTTTCGTGATGTACTTGTGGATGTTTTGTGTTTCACCCACAACTGTGGCCTTGACACTCATCAGGCCTCAACCTCATTCCTTCCAGCTGGTGTATAGTCTCTGGGTGTTGGATTTCAGTTGCAATCCTATATTCATAGTGAGTAGTTTCCAGGTCTTGTCATCCATGGTTACCAACTCTTCTCTTACCCAAGTTATTATTCCGGATGGGTACCTGATGACTGGTAGGGCATATATGTTAATGGCTTGGATCTTGTTCTTGCTATTGAGCTCAGACTTCAGGAACTGTCTGACTCTCTGTAGATACTTGAATGTTGCTACCCACCTTGCCATTTTTTCTTAATTTCCATGTGTTTGTGGTACCCTCAGGTACTTGTAGCTGTTCTCTACATCTCCTATTTGGCCTTCTGGTACTTGAACTTCTTCTGTCCTGATTATCTTCTCTCTTTTTGCCATCATCCGCCCACACTTATGTAGTCCAAACGACATTTCAATGTCCTAGTTAGGTGGATCCATTCTTGGCATACAACTTGATGTTGTTCATATAGAATAGGTGGCTGATTGCACCTCCACTCTTGAATATGTTTAGGTATCCACTCTTCTTGATTATCTGGCTAAAGGGTTTGAGGCCTATGGAGAACAGTATTGGTATATGCAACATTTAATGTTTACTTGCGTTATTGTCCTGGAATTGGCTTCTAGAGTTGTTTTCCACTTGCCCATCGAGTTCTTGATGAAGGCTCTTATTGTCTTGTTAACGTTGTATAGAGCCAAATGTTCCAGTATCCAAATGTGTGGCATTGTGTCATAGGCTTTCTTGTAGTCAATCCAGGATGTGCACAGATTGGTATTCTGGGTCTTAGAATCCCTTGTGACTGCTTGGTCCACCAGTAGTTAGGGTTTTGAGCCTCTAGTTTTGTTTCCAATCCCCTTCTAAACATTAATCATGTACTGACTCATATGCGCATGGATCTTGCAGGCTATGGTGACTGACAGGACCTTCCA